TCCATCTTTTACTTATTAATTTATTATTGTTTGTTCATCACCTTTTATTCATCTTGGCCTATTTGAATATATCCTTCTGTTTCCCTTGTACTTAAGGAGCCCAGAGATTACTCCTCCTCTTTCTTCTTTTCCTATCAGGTTTCTTAGTGCTCCATGCCGATAAAGTGGCTTGTGAACAGGTGGATCTGAAACAGCTCATCTCAGGTAAGAGAGTGAGGGACAGACAGAGAGGTTAGGGAGGCCCAAGCTGCAGGAGACCAGCAGGTTGTTTGTTTTGTTTGGGGGTGGGCTGATGTGCAGTAGACTCTTCATATACACATTCGATCCAGACACTAGTAGGCTGTGGGGAAGAGAGAGGGAAGGGCCTGGGACCGTACACAGACAGACAGCCACACAGACATCCTGGAACTCTTGATTCATGGTGGCATTGGAAGAATCCTCCAGCACTGCTTCCTCTCCTCAGCTTTGAATTCCCTCTCCTCGTTTCGGGGAGATGTGAGCTCCTCCAAGCAGGAACTGCTGGGTGATCAGCGTTGTAGACTGGGCCCCTTTGCCTGCGTGGAGGTGGCTGGTGCATAATCCATGGGGAAGGAGTTACTGACACCATGGGTCCCAGAAAGGGGGCTGGGGTGGGTTAAGTGATTTTCCTGGATTTCAAGGATTTTTTCCCTGTCACTGGTGACCTCATCGTCTCTAGTAATTCACGGAAACTTCTGAGCTGTTCCAAAGGAGCTTAAAAAACACTAAAAAAGGAAAAACTATCTTTCCGTTGGCTCCTGGGGCTCTTGCAGAAAAGAGGCCTGTCTGTTAAAGAGTAGTTAGTCCCCTCTAGGGTGGGGGAGTGAGAGTGAGAGAGTGTGTGCGTGTGTGTGTGCGCGCGCGTGCGTGTGTGTGTAAGCGTATGAGCACTTGAGAAAGCAAGTATAATCACTGGAGTTAGCAGTTCGGGCTTGGACAGCCTTAGCTTCCTGTATTGAGTGGATTAGCCAAGCAGGGCCAGGCTCCCCCTCCTGCCTGGGTCCTGCACCCCCCAGGAGCCAGCAGCTGGAAGAAGCAGCTTGAGGCGGAGGACGGCAGAGCAGGAAGCCAGCGGCACATAAATCAGGGGTTGGCGGGCCAGTGAGCAAGGGAGGGAATGTGGGAGGGAGGCCGGCAGTCGGTCGTCGGGCAGTGAGCTGAGCAGCCATCAAGGGGATTTGCAGGGACCTAGGAGCCTCAATTTCACGGTGTAAACAAGCTACTGGAAAAATACTCAGGAACTATGAAGGGAAGAAAAAGCGTTACCTGCCCTTTTTAAAGTCCAGGTTCCAAACTGTGCTTCCTGCCCCCTCTCTGACCTAATCTGTCTGCTCATCTGGGATTCCCCCCAATAGGGTGGGTGTTCATGCATGTCACAACCCCATATGACCTTCAGGTTCTTTCTAAACCAAACCCGTCTCTTCCTATTAGCTCTCCAGCTACTGCTTAAGGACCCAGCACCCACAGTGAGGATCAAAGCTGCAGAGACTCTGGGCTGTCTGGTCAAGTTCGCCTGAGCTGTGTGTAAGACACTGGACCAGCCTTTCTACAAGCAAAATGGACCAGATTTCTCAGAAACAACCCTCACTGCCCAGATACCCAGCTGTGGAACAGCTGGATCCTGAAACCCCGAGTGCCACTCCCCCACCCCCCAATCCCATGGCTCCTGCTCCTGGAGGTCATGAGGATCCCTACCTGAATATATCTTACAGCCACAGCTCCAAACCAGGATTAGGGTAGGGGCTTTACAGACGGGACCAATCCCATCCTCTTCACCTTCAGCTTAAGACTTAATCCAGGCAGGACCCAAAGGTGCTGGAGGAGAAGTTGTACATAGGACAGAGCATACTGTACTTATTTTTCAATAAAAGCTGTTTGCTCTTCCTTGACTTGTAGTGCTTCTTCCCATCCCCCACTCCAATTGCCTCCCCAGGACCCACTCTGGTCCTCATGGTGAAAGACATTCATTCCCTGACAGAACAAGTAACCAACTCAGTGGACAAGGACGATGACTTGGGAACTCATCATGAAGTTACATTAAAGAAGGGATATTGATGATAGAAGCAACAAATGATTTAAGTTGAACATAAAAAGTGGCCGTCCTGTACAAATAGTATCAGTGAGAACTGAAATTCAAAACGAGACAGATCTTGTGATGAACAGTCAACTCAATTATATGAACAATAATAATGGAGAGAGAAAGAAGGCTAATCTGCTTTAGACTAGCAAAGACAATGAAAATAGTTGACAGAGCTAAGACCCAAAACGAATGAGAATTGAGTTAGTACCCAAGTTCACATAGGTACTGACAAAACTAGAATTAAAACCCCAGTTCTTCTGACTCCAAATCCACAACTCTCCACTGCATCTAGTCAGCTGTCAGTGAGTGACCTGGCAAACAGACCTTCCAGTTCTTTTGTTTATCTTTTGGCAAGGCAATCAGGGTTAAGTAACTTGCCCAGGGTCATGAAACTAGTAAGTGTCTGGGGTCAAATTCAAACTCAGATCCTTCTGACTCCAAGGCTGATGCTTGATCCACTGTGCCACCTAGCTTCCCCCTTCCAGTTCTTTTAATAGCCATGGTTGTTTATCCAGGCTAGGAGACTTGAATTTGTCGAAGAAAACTACGTGTTTCTCTTGCCATCTCATTCATAACTTCATGAGAAGATGGATAGAAATATAGTCCCTTTCCCCCACAACAGGGACTCTTCTTAAACATCTCTAGTTCCTTCTGGTATGGCTTCCAGTCCCCTCATTCTGGTGGTTCTTTCAGCATGCCAAGTCCTTTCTCAAATATGAGACACCAAGTATTGCACCAGACTCTGGATATGGAGGGTCCGACCCGGATAGAAATAGAGGAATGACCAGCTCTAGCAGAGTTAACGAAGGGTGAGCTTCACTCAGGGAAGGGGTAGGGGAGAGTCTTCTGTTGCCACATCCACACGTGTATAAACACACATGCACACACAATTGGACACTGTGGCCTTACATCAAAGACATCCACTAAAATCCCCAGACCTTTTTCACTATCTTCCATCCAGGTCCATGCCCACCTTCTACTCGTACAATGGTTTCAGGCTGTTCGAGGTCATTGATCCTTCTGGATTTGGGGTCTCCTGTCCAGCCATCCCAGCTTTGTCATCCAAGCCTGTTCACTGATTTCATTCAGGTTGATGGTGAAAAGTTTTTATCAGGAAAGATCTCTGCAGTATCCCACTAGAGCCATCCCTCCTTCCTTCTCCTCTCACCCTCTGGCCAAAGGCTGACAGTGATTACTTAGCGTCTTTGCTTTGGGTCCAGTCATTCAGGCATTTCTGAATCCAGTTACCATGTCAAGGTCATTTGTCTCATCCGAGCAACAAAGATACATGATAGATTTCTGTCAAAAATCTGGCTGAAATTCACCTGTGCCTAAAACATTTCTCTGATCTGCCAGTTCAGTCAATGTTCAAAGGGGAAAAGGAAGTTACCCTGGCAGCCACATCCTAAGCATGATTACCAAGACTTCACAAATTATTTCTTAAAGATTTTCTAGAATTTTCTCAGTACTTTAAGTCAAGTTCATCAGCCTGAAGTTTAACAATTTCCACCTTCTTCCCTTTTGAGGAATTCAGGACCTCTCTCACTGTCTGATTTTTTCCCCCAACACTTGTAGGATTTCCAATCTGGAAGGAATCTTAGAGGCTCTCTAGTCTGACTTCCCATTTTACAGATGGAATAATAGACTCAAAGAATTTTAGCAACTCACCCTTCACAATCTCCATCCAGCCTAAGAGTTGATCAAAAAGTATTCATTAAGTACCACATGTGACTGCCAAGGTATAAAATATAGAAGGAAAACAGTCCTTGCCTTCAGAGAGCTGACATTTCTACTGGGGAAGATGGCATGTACACATACAAAGACATACAGAACAGATGCAGATGAATACAAGGCAGTTTGGGGAGGCTGCTAGCCGCAGGGGGTGTTGAGGCAGGGGACAGAAATCAGTACAAGCTTCATGTGGACAGAAAATGACATGGAATCACGAAAGAAACCAGGAATTCTGATTCAGAGAGCTAAGAACAAGGAGCATGCTGGGTATGGGGGCACAGAGACATGAGACGTAGAGTATCACAGGTCAACCACTTGGGCTCCTTTCACAACTACACTCCAGTTCCTTGAACTTGGCCTTCCTTCTCTTGCTGCTGCACCTTTGCACTTGGGCTGCTCCTCTTAGAGCACCTGACTTCAGGCTGTTTGTGGCCTCCCATGGGAAGCCTTTCCCCAGTTGAGAGTGCTTTCTTCCTCTCGGAATAATCATGCTTGTCCTGATCCATTTGCATGTTTTATCCCCAGCACAATGTCAGATCTTTGAAAGGACTGGGGTTTTTTTTGTCTTTGTACCCCCAACAACTGGTACAGTACCTGGCCTATGGGGCAGAAGGGGGAGCAATTGGTAGAGCCACACAGCAAGAGATCCGATGGAAGGGAAAGCTGCCTAATGACCAGTGCTTTCTAAAAGTGGAACAGAAAGCACTGGATTTTCTCCCATCACTACATATTTTCAAGAAGCAGCTGGATGGCTTTCTGCTGGAGATGTTAAAAAATCAGGTAGAAGACAGAGACAGTTGGATTTTTGGAGTTGGGAGGGCTTGGGTTCAAATTCTGCCTCAGATATTTCCTATTGACCCTAGACAAGTCACAATCTTTGCCTGCCTGTTTCCTCATCTGTGAAATGGGGATAACAGCACCTACTTCACATGGCTGTGAGGATTATATGAGATAACATATACATATATAAAGTACTTAAAGTACTCACTATAAAGTTCTATAAAGTACTCACTATAAAATGCTTGGTATTATTACCCTCCTGAGGTTCCCTTATAGTACTGATGTAGAAAGAATTCCTAGATTGGATAGGTTGAATTAGATCAACTGTTCTTAACTTGGGGTTGACAGACCCATAAGGGGTGAATGAACAGGTTCAGAGAATCTCTAAACGTGGAAGGGAAAAAAATAGATCTTTATTTCAATAATACATTTCCTTTGTAAGCTAATGTATTTTACTTATTAAAAAAATTTTTTTCTGAGAAGGGGCCTATAGATTTCACCAGACTGCAAAAGGGATCCATGACAAAAAAGATTAAGAACTCCTAAATTAGAGGATGAAAGCCCTTTCCAAAAATGAGATTCTATTTTGTGTGTAGTAAGAGGCAGAAGATTTTGGGTAGGATATTAAGAGGTCAGCTTTCTAAGTATTCTGACTTGCTGGGTAGCTGATTATGCTTTATTCTTCTTGCCAATCCCCTTCTGTCCTAGACAGAGACAAGGCCAACAGCAAGAAATGTCCCTTTTAATACCCCACGCCACCCCTGTTGTCCCTAGGTGAAGAGTCGAAGGGTGCCATCTGCCCCAGAGGAGAAAAGCCAGGGCTGGGTGGGGTGGAAGCTCACATCCAGCACCCCAAGGTCCCGGTGCATCGTGTGGCCTTTGAGAACTTTCACTGGCACCAACAGCGGGTTCTGTAGAAGGTCACTGGAGAGGAAGACAAAGGGTACATCAGGGCCTGTTACTGGGGCAGATCACTTGGAGGACAAGAGAAGGCTAAATGGAAGAAGGACTCTATGCCCTTAAGGATGATGAAGGTAGGGTAGCAGGGGGGAAAGCGGAGTGGGAGAAGAGACACAGGGGATGACAAGACAGAAGCCCCGTTACTGTTCTATCTAGTCTGGCAAAGAGACTAGTACTTACTTGTAGACCATGCCATGGCAGACAATGACACTGCCATCATCAGATCCAGAGGCGAAGAGCGGGTACCTTGGATGGAAAGCGACAGCCCTGAGGGCCTTCTTGTGGTGCCTGTGAAGTTCAGGGAAGAGGGAGATCACTAAAGGGTGTGTGTGGAGGTGGGGGGGTGGGGAGTACATTTAAAACGTGCAGCCCCAGAGCTGCCTCATGTTAGTACTCTGGTATACGTGAATATACTAGTGTGACCTTCAGTTCCTCAATTTTTCCCTACTTCCTTGGTCTACCAACCCCTACACCAGATTGACCCTTCCTCCAACTTGAATCCTTTGTCCTCCTGACACTATGTTAATCTCACTTGATAATCTCCTACTCTTACAATCTCCCACCTCCCACTTCTCTTTCTCAAGTGGCTGGAGGAAATCATGAATTTGTGCTGGCCAGATCCACTACAAATTAAAGCAGGTAACTTCAAATGGCCTTCATTCCTGCTGGCAATCCCTTTAATAATCTTTTATCGACTATCCAAGGCTCTTCCACACCTTCTATTCTCTTGAGCACCTAACTATACCCACCCCCCAGCAAATAATGTCTTCCTACTCTTCTGAGAGTGACGCCAACCAATATGTCTTCATCTATCTTGTTTCGTTCAATTTTTTTTTATTACTTGAAACCAAGAATCTATTACATACACAGCTTATATTTTTTAAAATGTAATAAATTCAGCATCAGTTTCAAAGCTGTCCTATTTGTCTCTTTCTCCTTCTGAACCTCCTCCTGTTCTCTTCTATGTGTGTATTCAGTTTTTAAAAATTTTTTTCCCAATTCAATTTTATTTCATTTTCAATCTGTGCATTTTTAAAAAAGCTACAATCACCCATTTCTTTGTGGTTGTTTTTTTTTTGGGGGGGGGGAGTAGAAGGAATCCCTACTGTTAGTCCCCCTCTCTCATCTTCAATCTCCCTTGCCCTCAAGCCTTGAAACAGGTTTTGGTTTCCCCCATAATAATTTTTCAAAACCTTCCTAACCCTGTCACCCCCTCACGCTATGAATCCTTTCCCCCTCTTTTTCACAGCCAAACTTCTAGAAAAAGCCACCTACCCTCACATTAGCCCCCCCGACTGCCCCTCTGTTTTTGTTGTTGGCACCACCATCCTCTTAAGTAACCCAGACTCATAAGCTCATCTTTAACATTTCCTTCTCTTGTACTGCGCCACCACTGCCCATCCTAGTTGTCCAAACCTACTGTGTCTACCTCCACATTACCTTTTCTAGAATACCATTATTCTAGTCCAGGCCCTCATCACCTCTACCCTGCAATATTAGCTTCCTAACCTGTCCCTCCTTCTTCAAAGAGCTTCCCAAATCATTTTCCTAACACACAACTCTGATATTGTCATTCCACTATCTAGATCTGCAATGGCTTCCACTGCCCACTTACTGAATAACGCTGGGTAGCGAAGGTCAGCCATGGTCTGGCGGCAAGCTATCTTTTCAGTCTCATCTCATACTACTTTTGCCTTCGTGTATTCCCTTCCATTCAGAAGTTTATCCACTTAACCACCCCCCATTCTCAGTCCCCAGTAGCCCTCTGTGCTTGTCTGGACTTGTGACCGAGTTCTTACATGCCAAGGAGATTTCTCCAAAATCTTCATCTGCTGATGACTCCTCTCTCTCTCTTCCTTCAAAACTTGACTGAGGAATCTTCTCCACCATGAAGCTGTCCTGAAAGCCCCCTCTCCAGGGGCAAGCCCCTCAGCATCTTTTCCTGGGCCTCTCTACTGCACTTAGCATCCTACTAGCTGTCTACCTTGAGTGAATCACTTTACTGCTCTGGGCTTCAGTGTTCCACATCTATAAACAAAAGAGCTGGACTAGACATCAATTCCTGATCCTATGATCCCTTGCTTTAATTATTTGTGATGATGCTTTTTCCCTTGATCAGATGGCAAGCTCCTTGAGAGCAAGATCTGTGCTGAAAGAATGAACAGTAATACTGTTCATTCATTAGCTCCCTAGCACCCCCTTACCTTAGCACCTTGTAGGGCTTGGTTGAAAGGTCAAGATCAAACCAGATCAACTTGCTATCATAACTGCCACAGATTACATTGTCTCCTGTGTGGGTAGGAAAGGGAGACATGGGGCTAGGTCAGCCAAAGTCCCCAACTTCCCCTTCATCTTTTTCCCAGGGTGTTGGGGATGGGTGGGAAGGTGAGGTCAGACCACCCCCCACTCCCATCCTCTTACCTTGGGGGTGTACAGCCAGGCTAGACACCCATTTGCAGTTAGGCATTAGCTTCTTTGTGAGTTCCTGGCGAAGCAGGTGGTAGAGACGGAGGCTGCGCTGAGAAGCCACAAACAGGAAGGGTCGAGAGGGGTGGAAGGCCACGCACTGCACCTGACCGTGGCTTCGACGGAAAGGGCTCTGGCTGCGCCGACGGCTCAGCTGGTGCATCAACACCTGTGTGTGCTCAGCAGCTGCCACGACTGAAGCCAGGTAATCCCCACGTCCATGCCAGGCTACCTGCTTCACTGGCTGAAGAGAAAGGGAAGGGGAGAGGGGACGGGGAAGAGAATGAGATCCAAGAGAGACGAGCTACCAAGGCCCTTCACACAAGCTCTAGCGGCTTCAGCCCTCTGCACCACGCTGCATCGCGTTCTCTCTCCTGTCCATGGCCTTTCTAGCTCCACTGTCCCAAGTACCTTGTTATGACAGATTCGCAGCCTAAGGCCGTGTCCATGCTCTTCAGCTGAAGCCTCCTGCCACTCCACAGGCTGCCGAGCAGGCTCTTCAGGGGGCGAGAATGCGCTCAGCAGCTGGTCTGTGCTGCTTGTGGCCGACAGGTCCCCCAGACCCGGATTCAGCAGGAGCACTGACTCTGCACTTTGGGGATGTGTGAATAGAGAGACTCCTTTCAGAACCTACCCCTACAGCCCCACCTAGTCCTCACCATTCTCTCCTTAACGCCTCCCAGAGACAAAGACATTGCAAATAATTGTTCACACTTCCACAGGATCTACAAAGGTCTCTCCTCACCCTGTGAGGAAGTACGTAAGGACTACAGCAACCATTTTATAGATCCTGGCCACTAAGTAGAGTCTGGGGTCAAACCCAGGTCTCCTAAAACCAGGCTGCTTCCCCTGCACCAAAGTCCCTTCCTCCCGTGCTTCTGGTGGGAAGTGTACAAATTTACTGCCCGACGTGGAGTGCTGGAAGTTGATAAAACCACAAAGCTCTAAGTGGTCACCACCAACTCTATGGGAGCTGATCTCTGCCTCAGGAAGGGACACACTCGCTGGTCCCCAAGAGTTGCTGAGAAAGGCAAGGGGGACAGTCCTGAATGTGAGCAGGACTGAGGCAATCCTAGGAGATAACTTGGTCACTTGTGATGGGGGTACAAATCCTGCTTTGGACAGAGTGACCACGGACAAATCACTCGACCTCTCGAAGGCTTCATTTTTTCCTTCCTGCAACTTCCATGCATGTCATGTGAACAGTACTTTGCAAGTCACAAAGTGCTATACCAATGAGAGCCACTACTAGTCTTCCTCAGGGCAAAATACCAGCTAGCTAGGGGAAGCCTGGCAGGAAGACACAAAAGGCCCTGGTCACTCACACAGCCACAGCTATAAGACAGATGGCAGGGTTGGGATTCCAGGCGATGCTCTTCACCACTCCAGACACAGGAATTGTCTTCAGGCACCGACCAGTGTTCACTTCCCACAGTCGTACCGAATGATCGTCTGAGCCTGCAGAAGCCAAGTCCTGTCACCAGAGGGGCGATTTCCCAACACCTCTCCCCCAAAGTCTTACCCTACGTGCAAGACGAAACTGACCCCATGAATTTGAGGACCAACTCCCTGACCCAGCTCCTGTAGAGCAATATGCTTTCTGCAGTAGCAAGTTGATGAGAGCAGTCCCAACTAGGAGAGCACGCCTCTCAGTGTCTTTCTCTCTCTCTTCCCCCTTGAACGTACCTGAAGCTAGCCAATGGCCACTGGGCGAAACACTGAAGCATCGTACCAAGTCACTGTGGCCCTGGTATACCTGTAAGAAGTCGGGAAGGAAGTGTTAAATCCTTAAGGATAGGAAGAAAGTGGAGATCACTCAAGCTGAGAATCAGAATATAACCTTAGGCCACCCCCACAGCAGGACCCTTATTCCCTGTATTATTCCACCTTGTCCCCTTCTCCCACCCCCCAAATCCTTTACTCTGATCCCCATTACCAGGGATTGGACAGTGGGAAATGGCTGCAGGTCCCGGGGTTTGGGCAGTTTGGGGATCAGATCTTCAGGGTCCACATTCACCTAGAACACAACACACAGAACCCTATCACACTACCCCAGACCCCAGCTTCAGGCTTACCACGAGTGACTTGAGGGGTGTGAGGGAGCTGGAGAGTCTCAGCACAACACCCCTAATACCCTGAGTTTGGGTATGCCCGATGTAGGGAATGGACTAGCGGGAGAGGGAGGTGTTGCTGACACCATCCCCCCTCACTCAGTCTCTTGAACAATATTCACATTTTCTAGGTTCTAGCCCAGACATTTTTCCAACCACAAACCCTCCATTCTTAATGTCATACAAAGTATGCATGTTCTGGTACTGAAGGTTGGAGGGAAAGGCCTGGTTCCTATGTTCCTTAAACCATTCCCTCCAACTTCAACTGCCACATTCAAGTACTCCCAACCACACCCTCATCTTGCGCTGGCGAGGGCACAGGTAAAGGTCAAGGCAACGTTCAAAGCGTTCGTGGATAAAGCGGCCATACGCGGGCACTGCCCTAAGGCATCGAAATTGCTGAGGCAAGAAGTTCAACTTCCTCTCACTAGGCTCTTGCTGTTCCCAGGCCAGTCGCTGTGGACACAAAATTAGCAAGAGTCAGGCTAGACCACCTGGGGCATGTACCTCTAGAAAAAAGGGGAAGGAGAGACGATCAGAGGAAAAAGATAGCACTTCCTGCCCCCTAAAAACCAAGAGGCTGCCTGTCCCAGCTCCACAGTCCCCCCAACCCCACTCTAGGGTCCCTGCTTCAGACTCACCTCCTCTTCACTGAGTAAATACTCAGGTGGGGGGTTGTATGATTCAGCATGGCCAGGCAGTGCGAGTTTCGGGGCAGGCACATGCATTTTGTGGCGCCCCAAGATGGCACTGGGGTCCTCCTGGGCCCACAGGTCATAGTACTGGGGAGTGAGGTCCCTCGGCCGTCGTGGCTGGATCCAACCCATCTTAATGGCATGGACCATCCGGGAGACCTGGAACATCAGACAGGGTGAGGAGCAGTCCACAGGGGTGGGAAGAAGGGAACAAAGCAGAACATGGGCAAGGCCTCTGGTGGAAGAAGAGTGATCAGGTATGAGAGAGGCCAAGGCCTGAAGGGGCAGATGTGTGGGAGGAGTCCAGGACAGGAGGTCACACAAGGGGTGATCTCACCTTCTCCTTCTCAATGAGGGATGGGATGAAACTGCGCTTGTCAGCAGGACGGTTGGTCACTGGGTGGATCATCATGCTCCCACTGAAGAAGTCTACAGCTGGCTAGTAACAGTGGGAAGGGAAAGAGAGTGAAAGTGTTCTTCCTGCCCCCAAACTGAAGATCAAGCACTGTTAACCTTTCTGTGCCTCATCCCCGCTTCCAATCTTCCCTCCCTACCCCATACCTCATAGGGATCATAACTGGCGTCTCCAAACTGGCCCTTCTGTAGCCGCTGTACCAGAGCCACCTGTTCATCCGTCAGCCTCACATCCTGCCCTGTCATCTTGTCCTGCACCGTCCGCCTATGGGAGCAAGAGTAGAGAAAGGTAGGAAGAGAGGGACTTTGAGACCACCCAATACCTAATTCCATGCCCCGAGGATACCACCTCCTAGTCCTAACATGATTCCCAAAAGAAAGGGTCCCCTCCCACCCTCTTACTGACCTTCCCCTCCACTGCCCACATTGCCCAACTGACCAGTAGTCAGGGTCATCCATCTTATCCAGAAAGTGATCAAGTTCATCTCGGCTACGAAGAGGTTTATAGATTCTTTTCCCATCGAGGTCATAGCCAATGTGGGGAAAATCTTCATACCATTCCAGAGGGATATTCCCCACTGTGTTCCGGATGTCCTAGGTAGGGGTTACAAGACAGGATAGAGAGTCACAGGTGAAATGAGACCATACAAGCCACTCCACTGGACTAAGTGTCTATTGGGGAGACTATCCTGTAGTTCCTCTGGCTGCATTCCATCTTCTGGGCTTGCCTCTGCTTCTCCTGTCCCTAAAGGGTTGGGGACCTGCCCATTTTGTTTCAGTCAACGTTTTATGCTGTATAGTTTCTAGACCTGAAAACCCCACCTCCCTATCCCTTTCCTATTCAGACCCTCCCTCCATTTCAACCACTCCCCCAAAAAAAGTCTTAAATTTCTTGGCAATGGCCCTGGGAAGCCACAGCAGTGACCTCATTGCCCGCTTGCTCATTGCCCTGGCATGTGGGCCAAGTACCTACTGCCAGGGCTGGGGGCATACAGCCAAGAGTCGTTCACTACAGGGCAGAAGGGAAGGAGGGGGCACACGATGTGGAGACAGGCATAGAAAGACAAATACTAACAGTCTATCCCGCCCAACTCTAACATCTCTCAGTTTCCAAGGGGGCAGCATTCTTGCCCGGTGAGAGTTCTCCCCAACTGGGAATCCTGCAAGCTTCTGACTATACCCTTGGCTGGCTGGCTGGCACTGAAAAGGGAGGAGGGAGTAGCAGGGAACACAGGTGTCTCCCACACCCAAGACAGAGATGTAAGCTCTCCCATGGAATTGGACAGTCTGAGTCCAAGCCATCCCCCGCCACCATCTGGTCTCCATAAACACCCCGGAGGAACACACACCCCATGGGGCCAAAAGGATGGAGGACTAAAAGAAGGGAATAAGACCTATGGGGGGGGGGGGGGGAGAAGACTTGAATTCCCTTCAACATTAACAGCCCATCCTGATTCCTATTAATTTTGGGAAGAAAAGAGTTCCACCAACAGGGCACCAAAATGGGTCACAAAGACTGCTTTAAAACTAGAAACTGTCTCTGTGAGAGAATCATGGCATGGAGAAGGGAGCCTGCCTCTTCTCTCTGCTTCTACTCTCCAGTAGCAGCAGAAGCTGTTCTTGGATATGGCCTCCTTTCCTTCCCCCCCCCCTCCCCAATCATATTCCTTTCTCTGAGGATTCCGGGAGTGAGCTCAGCCTCTATGGGCTGTCTCCTCCACCCCCACCCTATCTTCTCTCCTTCGAAGATCTGCCGTCACCACTCTGCACCCTCCCCAATCCCCTCCTCCCCAAGTCTGGGAGCTGAGCTTGGCCAGAGTCAAAATTGCATTCCGAGACGCACATTCCTGGCAGAAGCTCCCGCCAGCCACCACTACTCGCACTGCTCCTCCCTAGTTAAAGGTATCCTTCCCCAGCCTTGGATCCCATGGCACTTCCTTCAAAAGCACAGCACATGTCAGGCAGGTGGGGGGGGGGGGGGGCAAAGAGGGGCTGGGAGAAGAAGAAAGGATCCTACGAGGGGCTTGGGGGGGGAACAAAGAAATGGGAAAGGGGATGGGACTTTAGCCTGGAACCCTAGAAAAGGGAAAAGATCAGGGTCATCCCCCCTGGAGCTTAGGGGATAAGGGAAGAGGCATAGGGTTCAGCTTTGCTATCTTAGGACAAATCTGTGGGTCCCTGCCTGCAACTTTCCAATCCCAGGAAGAGATTATTTTGAGGTGCTATTCCATATGCAGTGTGGCATAGTGAATAGAGAGAGCTGGCCTCAAAATCTGGGTTCAAGTTCTGAATTGGATATAGTGGCTGTGACCGAAGGCAAGTTATTTAACCTCTCAACATCCTCAGACAACTCTCTAAGCCTCTTAAGTTGCAGAACAAGTACTGATCTGCAGCGATAGGAGATTCCCCATCAAGAATTCCCTAAACCAGCAAAATCACATCTGGCTCCCTGTGCCTTTAAAAAAAAAAATCCCCTTTACCAGGTGTCTTTCCATCCCTGGGGGCTGTATGTATATATGTATGTATGTGTGTATATTCTTTATGTGTGTATATGTGTGCACACATGTGAGAGAGAAAAGGGTATGTGTAATTGAGATGCTATGTGAGCGAATGACAAAGTGAGCATGTGTCACAGTGTGTATGATTAATCACCCATAGTTCTACAGGACTCTAAAGTTTACATGATGCTTTTCTCAAACAACCCTATGAGGTGGCAGACAGTGAATCAACAAGCATTAGGTGTTTTACACTGTGCCAAGCACTGTGCTAAGTGCTGGGAGAAAAAAAAACAAAACAGACCCTGCCATCACAAGAAGCTCACATCTGAATGAGACAAGTATGTAATCTATGATCTCTGCAGTTTAAATGGGAGGTAATCTTAGAGTGAAGATCTACAGTGGAGAGAAACCTGGAAAGGCCTCTTGTAGAAGAGGCCTACAAAACCCATGAGGCAAAGGTAAGGGGAATACCTATTCCAGGGATGGGGGACAGCCAGTGCAAAGGCACAGGAACAGCGAGTGTCACTGATGAAAGAGAAAGGGAGGGGAGTAAAGTATAAGACTGGAGAGGAAAGAAGAGGCCAGGTTGGTAAGCGCCAAAGAGGATCCCATGGAGCTCATCAAGAGGGATGTGCTCAGATAGATGCTTTAAAAAATCCCAATGAAAGCTAAGGAGAAGACAGATTTGAATAGAAAAAGACTTGAGGAGGAGGTCCAGCAGCAGGCCACTGTAATGGTCCAGGCATGACTAGGACTACTGTGGCTGTGGGCTCGGAGAGAAGGGGATACAAACATTCAAGGGATCTTATGAAGACAGAAATGACAAAATTTGGTAACACACTGGCTAGGTGGAGTTGAGGATGACGCCAAGGTTTTAAGCCCAGGTGACTAGAAAGATAGTGGTGTCCTCTCCAGAAACAGACCGGTCGTTCAAGATGTCCACAAGGCAGTTGGTGATTCAAGACTTCATAACTAGCTCAGGAGCTGGATACAAGGCTGGATATAGAAATCTGGGAATGATTTGCATAGAGACAATAATTGAACCCATAGGACCTGATGAGATCACCAAATGGTAGTATAAACTCTTACCACCCACCCCTACTTCACAAATGAGATGGAGAAAAATTAAATGGCTTGTGGAAGGTGGAATCTGAACCAAAGTTTGCTGACTCCAGCAGGAGTAGGAGTGTGTGAGTGTGTGTGTGATTGAAACTAACAACACAAATCAGAGAGTATATCTGGGACAGAAAATATATGCTGTTCGATTGAGGGACTGACACTATTATGAGTATGCATATGGCTAAGAAGACTATAAGATAGTATGTGTGAGAAACATCATTAGCGTCTCTGTGTTGCTGACACTATTTTCATGCAACAGTGACTTAGAGACAGTATACACGTGAGATATGGGGGGAGACTGACCAGCTATGGACAGACACAGGACTACTGGCCTGAAAGAGATGGTGGGTATGTGAGAGAAGGAATATGTGTGTGCATGTGTTGTACATAAAAAACACTGTCCACTATCTAACCTGCTTTAAAAAAAAAATTTATCCCTACCTCTAGCTCTGGGACCTTAAGAGAAAAAGGGAAGCCCTTGGCCCTGAAGGAGTTAATACTCTGGCCATTCCTCATACAGCAGCTGGGTTAGTTTGGTCATGCCGGGGCGAGAGTGAGAGAGTGAGAGTGAGAGAGAGAGAGAGAGAGAGAGAGAGAGAGAGAGAGAGAGAGAGAGAGAGAGAGAGAGAGAGAGTGTGTGTGTGTGTGTGTGTGTGTTCAGATGGGGGGGAGAAGGGGCAGAGAGAAGCAGGTCACTGATGTTATTTGACCCCCTTCTTCCCTCCCAATGGTGCTGAGAAGACTCTCATGGGTTTCTTCCTTCACAGCTGCCCCAATACCTTTCCATTCCTTAATACCTCTCTTACACATGTACTCAGGGCCCCAACTCTCACCCGGCACAGGAAGGAGGCACCCCAATCTCACTCCTCATTGCTACAATGACCAGAAAAAGCCATCCTCCAACCAGCACTCTGACCTTACCTACCATCTCTTACAATAAACCAGAAGAACAAACCGTGCTTCCCAATAGTGGTTAGGGAAGATTCCCCTACCCCAGCACTGATCCGGGAGAACCTCCACACCCCAATATTGAATCAGAGAAACACTCTAATCCTACCAGTGACCAGAGCAAGTCTTCCTCCCTTCCCTTCCCTTCCTCCCCTCCCCCACTGTCCCTACTAGGGAAGGTGGTCTGAGGATTGTGGCTGCCCCTGTGGCCCCAATTCCAAGGAGAATAAGAACTAGGCAGATGAGCAATTCTATGGAGGTGCCCACAAGTGTGGCCCCTTTTCCACAAGGGAAAGCCCTGACTCTCTTCTACACAAACACACACCCGAAGGAGGGAGGGAAAAAGGGAGGCTGTGGTACTCTGAGGAGCCCCCCTGAGCCAGTTCCAGGCAGTGGGAGGGAGCTGTGTGTGCTGTGGGGGAGGGGCTAAGCTGACCGCCCTGTGCTGTGCTGCTGGCGGATACCGAGGCTATAAAGCTGCTGGCTCCTGCCACGCTCAGTCTTAAGATGCACATGTGTGCTAAGGAGACAGCACTAACAGCAGCAGCAGCAGCAGCAACAAACTGCTGCCATAGAAGCCTCTACCTCAAACCCTGAGAGAACTAGGACTTAACTCCTCCTTCAGAGACCTGAAGGCACCCCTGCCCACAGAAGACATCACTGAACAGAAGACACCTCCAAAAGGACCAAAAGGAGAGAGGCTGGAGGCATGAGCTGTGGTCAGAGTTGAGGGCCTGTGGCCATTCCCCAACCCCTTTAACCCCAATCTCACTTGGTGCTCGAGCATCACCCCCCACCCCAGCCTTCACCATGTCTTTTGCCATGCTGCGCTCAGCACCCCCCAGCCGATACCTATATCCTGAGATCAGCATGCTGTCAGAGGACGATGAGAATGGGAGTGAGAGTTCAGGTTCAGATGAGAAGCCCTACCACCTTGATACTGATGCCTTTGGCCTCAAGGGTTCTAAGCGGCGTGCAGGAGGCAAGAAGGGCAGTAGTACTGGGGGGCGTCTGAGCCGAGAGCCCCGG